CCTGTGTCCCCTGCATCGGCAGGCGGACTCTCAACCACTGCGCCACCAGGGAAGCCCAGCAGCATTATTTATAAAGCTAAAAGTGGATATAAACCAAATGTCCATCAACTGATGAACAGATAAACAAAATATGACATATCTGTACAATATCCATATAATATACAGTGGAATATTATTCAGCCATAAAAAAGGAATGAGGTACTGTTATATGCCACAATATGAATGAACTTTGAGAGCCTTATGCTTAGTGAAAGAAGTCAGACACAAAAGACCACATATTGTATGACTCCATTTATACAAAATGTTCAGAATGGGGCAAATCCTAGAGATGGAAGGTAGACAGTAGTTGCCAGGAGATAGGGGGATGGGAGGAGGAATGGGGGTAGGGAATGACTGCTAACAGGTTTCTTTTGGGATTGATGAAAATGTTCTGGAATTAGATAGTGGTGATAGTTGCACAACCTTGTGAATAAAAACCTTTTGTATAAAACCACCAAATTTTACACTTTAAAATCGTGAAGTTTTACTACCAACTCCAGCTCCTAGAGGTCTTTCTAATCTACTGTGGCCTCAATGCCTTAGTTTCAGTTTTCTCCACTTTTAATTTAGATTACTGCACCTAAATGGTGTCTTGAACACCAGTCTGGTTAACTGGAAGAACAAATATACCAATCATCTTCTCCCTACCCAGGCAGATGCCCAGCAACATGGAATTCTCACAAAAGAAGGCTATGATTCACAGTGAAATCAGGAAAATCTCAGTGTCCTCCAAATCACAAACTCATATTTCTGAAGCCAACTATGTTGAACAATTATATTAATTTGTTCAATTACATCCAAAATTTATACAGTTTAAGTTGATGCCAACAGCACCTAGTAGCATTTTCTGCAAATCCTTTGAAAATCAACATACAAGAAACTTTGCGTAGCATGACACCACCAGAGGACAGGGAGTAAAAACCAGTCATTCACTGATGGGTATGCTACAAGAGAAACTACTGCAGTACATCCCATCACCAACAGAAAGAATATGGAATTCCTTTTAATATAAGCAGTCTTCATGTGTACATTAAAATGAGTTACAAACTATTCACATTTAGGAAGCAGATGTTTAACTAACAGGTATATAACAATACATTATCTGGGAGCAGGAGGTGAATGGGACTAAGAATTTTGAAAAAGGTCCCAAGTAATTCTTATGAGCCCTTCTCTCCTCTCTCCCACCACACAGAGATATGCTTTATAGTTTACGAAGAACTTGCAACATTCATGACCTTGCATCAAGAACCCAATTGAGAATCTCAACTGTGACCTTGGGAATACTGTTAAAAGGAAAAATTCATGCCTCAGTAACTGTGACAGTAGCTTGAATGAAAGCAACACCATATCAGATAAAAGTAAGAATTAGGGGGGCTTCCCTGGTGGTGCAGTGGTTGAGAGTCCGCCTGCCGATGCAGGGGACACGGGTTCGTGCCCCGGTCCGGGAAGATCCCACATGCCGCGGAGCAGCTGGGCCCGTGAGCCATGGCCGCTGAGCCTGCGCGTCCGGAGCCTGTA